ACCAAGGTAGGACTCCATGTGGAGAAAGAACTGGGTATTGAGAAACTTTGTAGGGTCTTTGAGTTTAAAGCTAATAATGTTTCACTTGTCAGCTTCTCAGTGCTCTGAGGGTATATTCATTGTAGGGTTTGTCTCCTGAATCACATGTGATGAGCACAGAGTATAATTCTTGTGGAATCTCATTGTGTTACTGGAATGGGAGGTACTGGCACTGAAGTGGCATTTCCACCTCCAGGAAACCACTTCATGACTAAGGAGTTTATTAAGGAAGTGTCCTCAGCATACTTTAAAATTTTGCTGGTAGTTTGTGTGGGGGTTATTCTGTGTTTCTTTTTAAACAGTGACTTTAGAATCCAAAGGTGTTCAGTAAATTCCTGGATGTTTGAAAGAAAGGGTCTAAAGGCTTTGTTTATTTTATAATCTGCCATGCGGTTCAGTTATTTGAACATATGGCTTGAATTATCATGGGAGTTGTAAACAAAATCTGAAATAATACCACAGATTAACTTGTAGTTCTTAAAAGATTATTGCTGTTGGGTTTGCCTTGTAGAGTGTCTTTGATAAGAATCTAAATATTGTAAGGAAAAAAGTTTTGTCAGGTTCTGTGGCAGACTTCAGTGTCATATAAGTAGGGTTTTTTCCTGTTGTTGCTTGCATGAATTGTTGGGGTGAGAATTTTGTGTTGTCTGGCACTTTCATTATTATAAATATGTAAAGCAAACATCCTTGAATTTAATTCAAATGAGTAGCAGTTTAGGGCAGTGCTAGAGCTTCAGTGACACTAAAATATCTTCTTCCATAGGAGAAAATAATTCTCTATTCCAGGCTCTTCTTTAAGGTTATTTTCACATGATCTGTGTTCCCAATAGAAAACAATGCTGTATTTAAGATTTCTTTTTTCTGTGCACCCCTGTGTGCTAAAGAAAGTACTTCCTGTTGTGTGATCTTGCCCAAAGACAAGAGGAAAATTCCTGTAGTTGTTTTAGAAGAGATGAAGCAGCTGAATGTTGGTGAAAATGGAGGTGTGATCCTTTTGGCAGCAAAAGGAACCTGTGAAATAAGACAGCCAAGATCTTCAATTTGTTGTAGATTTATCCCTGATTATACAGGACAAAGATCCTTGGGAGAGAGGAGATGGAAAGAACGTGTGGAAGGTTTCTGTTCTATTCCACACCTGAGCAGCTGTCTTGGTGCTATCAGCCCCTGCTAGTTAACTAAATTACTTGCACGTTTCTACTCAGCTTGAAAAACAAGCTGTCATTAGCTGGAACTACTCTTAACAATTGTTTGCATGCAGGAAATAGTCAGTGTCTCCCTGAGAAGTAGCAATTCCCTTTTTATCTGAGAGAGTGAATAAAAGCTGTGCTAAAATCAGAATTTGGAACCGATCCTGGGTATCAAAACATTACAAATTTCTCAAGGTCTGCTGTGTTGTGGTTTTTTATTTGTCCTCACTCTTTCTTCAGTAAGTTGTTTTAGTGTCAACTTCTGTTGTTACTACATGGTTGTACGAACCTGGGGCAATGTTACTAAAACCCTGTTTAAATGTCTATTCCTTTTCCTTCAGATTTCTTCTGCACTGAAAAATTCGCTCTCAGCTTTTCTCAGTGAAATAATGTGACATCATTAGTACAGCATCAAAGTGACTGGTTTTGTTCATGCAGGTGTCAAAAAGAGATTGTTCATCATAAATCATTAACTTACCTTTCACATACTAAAAGTGCATCTTACTGCTGTACTTTTGGTAAATTTATGCTTAATATTAGAAACAATTGTTATAGCAGAATAGTCTTCAAACACTGTGGATATTGAGGCAGCTCCTGTTCTGCCAGGCCTGTTTTTTTCTGTCTTGTTACTGTTATTAAGGTTATTGAACACACATTTTCTCTGTAGTGTTTTTGCATGCCTTGCTCAGTGAGAAGGGATTGCCACTCAAGTGTTTCTGCTGGTTTCAGCAATGTAATGGTAGTTGTTGTAAGGACTGGTGAGTTACTGTGAGAGAAGCTGGTATCAATTTTACTTTCCTTAGATAGTTTGATGCAGTTTAAACTTGCATTTGTGGTAAGAAACGTTCCTGTTTAGCAGTTTAGAGACACAGGTCAGATTTGAGTGTGGCTTTGAGTATTTGTTTTGAGGTTTGCTCATGAGTGGAAAAGACTGAGATCAGTGCCCCAAACAAAGCCACTCTGGTGTTCTAGAAGCATCTGCTGTAGTGATCATCATTGTATGAACTTGCATTCCTGCCCAGGAACACTGACACCTTTGGGCAGCTGGGCAGTGGGACTCCTGGTCCTTGTGAGCTTCCAATGGCTGTGAGGATGTGTGTGAGAAAAATGTAGCAGTAAATGGCACTGTGGGGTGTGAGGTTCACTGTGTAAATGTCAGGTGCATTTCCATTTCCTGAAGAATGACTTTCCTTCAGAAAGTGACAGGGACATTGGTGACATTGCTGTGAGCACCTTGTCACTCTCACCCCGTGGTTTGCCCAGTGCATCTCTACTGGCTGCCTTGGGCAGAGTAAAGGGAAGACTTTGCCTGCTGTTCATAGGAGAAGAATCATAGGGAAATAAAGCTGGAAAAAAGAGTTTCCAGAAGAGTCTGGGTCACAGCTGTGTCACTGTGACAGGTGTTGGGAAATGCTTCATGGTGCAAATTCTGTCTTTCCCCAATCCCTTCAGTGAACCTGTCTGAGAACTTCGATTTGTTCTCAGCCATAGGAGAGGATTTTAGATGGGATGCCAATTACATGGGAAATCATTTGTTGTGCACTTTGGTCTCTATTCATGTTGATTTTGTTTACAAATACGATTTTCTGGTGTTCATTCATGGTCATTGAACTAAATCTTGGCATATCACTACAGCTTACTCACGCCCTGCGCTTGAAAAGGCCTGAGATTTATGGGGATGTATTTAAATGCAGTTAAAGCTCTTTTCTTACAGGGGAATTTTGCTTACATTTTGATTTTGAAAAATTAACCATCTAAGTCTCTGACCGTATTTATACTTCTTTTGACAGTAATCCAGTCCCTCATAGCACTGGTGAATGATCCACAGCCCGAGCACCCCCTCCGGGCTGACCTAGCTGAAGAATACTCTAAGGACCGTAAAAAATTCTGTAAGAATGCTGAAGAGTTTACAAAGAAATATGGTGAAAAGCGACCAGTGGACTAAAATCTGACACAAGCGCTGTCAGCAACCTATGATAGAAGATCGGAGCAGTGCATTTGAGACACCCCGTAAAGCAGGACTCTATGGAAAATTGACAAGTGCCACCTTTTGGTGTGAACTTGTGGCTGTTACTAACTTTCTACAGTTTTCTTAATCAAAAGTGGGCTAGGTAACCTGTAAAGAAAGGATTAAAATTTAAGATGTTCTAGTTCTGCTTTCTTTGTTTAAAAATCACTGCTTCAATATACTTTAAAGTATGCTGTTTTCTTTTTCTTGTCAGAATTTATCAAAAATATCTTAGACTTATATTCTGCCCTTAAATTGAAAAGGTTGTGGCTGTCATTTCTTATTTTTCCTTGCAGTTCCCACTATCTTGAGTTCATTCATTGGATTTTAACTCCCTCCTCAAAGTGATGTCTTAGGAAAAATATCCCAGTTCTGGCAGAAAATGATTGAGTGTTTGGCAGTTTCATTTACTTTTCTTTCTAAATGTTGCACTGTGCTTTGTGGGACCTGTTGAAAGTTCCCCTGAACTTCAGTTTGTAACATAATAAACAAAATCCAACCCCACAAAACCAATCAGAAATAATGTCTGGGTCTGATGTAAATCTGGCCAACATCCATTAAACGGGGAAACCCAAGTTTTTGTGTGTGTCATTGAATTAGAATATGGCTTATGTTCTGCTCTTGGAAAACTTTGGAAAAAAATCTGTAGCAAATAAGTATTGGAATGTGATTGCAAACTTCCTTCACTTCTATCTTTAATACCTATGCAGAGTAGCGGGAAACATGCACAGAACAACATTGCAACCAATCCAGGAGAGTTCCAGAAACTGGGGACCAAGAGGTACCAAAGTGACAAACTGTCTTTTGAGTTTAAAATCATTATTTTGGAAATATTAATTTTGAATTCAAGAAATCTGACAGCACTGCTGTCCTCTCTGAACATTTTCCCTCAGAATGCGTCAGGAGCATCTGTGTTTGTGGGATGGCCCTCGAGCCGTTCCCAGCCCCAGCACGGCTGCGAGGCCAGGCCTGAGCAGTAAGGTGTGCCAGGGTGTGCTCAGCTGCTGCTGCTGCTGCTGCTGCTGTGTTCAACACATGGGGCAGGGGATTCAGTGAGTGTTCAGTGTCAGGGGAGTCCCTCCGTGGCTGTCCCGGGGCACTCCTGCGCATGCTGAAGGAAAGGGAGCCCTTTCCCTTCAGAGCTGAGCATCCTCTGCTGTGTCTCTGCCGCTTCTGCTGCCTTTCGTCCCCAGCCCAGAGCGTGCTCCTAGCACCAGTCAAACTGCCACACAGTCAACCTACTGTCTCCCCTTCTGCAGCTGGGGTCTGCTACTGAGTGAATGGATTATTTCCAGAAATCTGTAGGTATCTGGGAGCACATATCATTTTGATGTGCAGGAAGCTGAGTTAAAAAAACCCTGACACCTAGGTGGTTGCCTGTACTCCTAAATTCAATTTTAATACAGCCTATGCCTTTGCAACCTTTCAGAACTAGTGTGTCAAGCAAGTAGCTCTCTCTTGTTTTTAATGTCTTGTGTATTTGCTATTTCCTCATTTGTCCCTCTCCTCTGGCTTTCATTTCCAATTTAGTGTAAACAATGACAGCCCAGTACCTCACCTCTGTTGAAAGTAAATTTTTTTATAAGTTAGGGAGCTAAGAAATTTTATGTTTAAGTGTTCTTAGACAGATTCTTTGGCAGGTAAATAAAGTTAAACCACATTCACCTTATTTACAGAAACTTGCATTTCCTAAGTGTTTTCAGGCTTGTGAGAGCACTATTACCAAATTTTCACATCTTTGTGTCTTCATTTGCAGAAAGTTGGTACTGATTTTGTTTCGTTCACGCTCACTCAGATTCATAATAAAATAATGCCAAATTATCTGTCAAACTGAAGTGTGTAACTTCTGCATCACCTGAGTCACTGTACCTTTGATCATGTCTATTGGCATGGAAACTTTACCATTCTCTAAATTTTATTTGAAACAAATCTGTAGCACTAGTTTGCTGCCCTTGTTGCTACTCAATAGTTACTCTGTGGTTGTAAAGCCTCTCAGGTCAAAGACTGCATCTGTCTGCCTGGCTGTGATCGGATGCCGCGGGAAGGGACGGAGGGGCTGTGCGATCGCAGGATCTCCGGCCGAGCCGCACCAGCCGCTCCCATCCAGCTGCAGAGCTCACACAAAGACAGATCTCGCTATCGGTTCTCTTGGTGTGTTCTTCATCGTCCAATTGCTAAACTGTGAGACGCGTAAACAAAGTGCTGGCGCGTGTCTGGGGTAGCCTCTGAACAAAGGGATCCAGCACCTGTGTGGCTGAAGGCTGAGGAGAAGAAATCCAAGTGTGAAGTCCTATGATAACTCAGGAAATCAAGCTCTTGTTCTCTCTGGTTCCCTAAGCCATGCTGAATTCTAAATGTGCAGTTGAACATCCACAGTGAATGCAGCGCACTGGTGAAACTACACCCAGGAGTACTGGTATAGGCTTTCTGCAAGTCCATTCTGCTACCCTAATAAAAATTGCTCTCAAAGGCTTTGTGGCATGGTTTTATTTTCACAGAGGTCTGGGAGTTAACTGGGATTGTACTGTTCTCGTTTGAACTTGGGTTGTCTTTAAAGCTTTCACAGAACCACTGAGAAATTTCCTTATCTCCTTATACTTTATGCACTTGAAAGGTTCCCTGTTAAGTAGCCTTTTAAGTAGTTCATTATTAATTTCTCTAGTAAAACAGAATTTTGGGGTTTAATGCTCTACATTTAAAAATAAGGAATTTCTGGAGTCCATTTTTCACACTAGAGCCCTCAGGTAAAGGCTGCCCTTAGGTTTTCAGCGTTCAGCTGCCAGGAAATGCATCCAGAATTTCACAGGTGTGTCACGTGCTGACGGGTGCGATTAGAGCCAATCCAGCGCTTAGAACATGGGGCGGTTTAAATGTTTATAAGTTAAAAATGTCCGTGAGAACGCGGGGCCAGTTGGGTACCGCTGGAGCTCTGCGGCTGCAGTGCGGCCCGGCGGGCACGGGGTGGCGCTGGCGGGTGCGAGCGCTCCGGCCGCGGCTCTGTCCCGCTGCCCCCGGCAGCGGCTTCGCATCCCCGGGGTAACACCGGCTCTGCTCTCACCCCGCCCGGCTCAGACATAAGGCATTTTATAGAATATAGTAAAGAATCGGGGAAAATATCTTCTACAGGATCCTTGGTGTTTTTACTACTTGTACAGGACAAAAACTTCCTCAGATGTGTTATAGGAAAGATCAGACAGTTCCCATTAATGATAGAAAGGGAGGCCCTTCCAGCGGTGTGGGAGCAGGCAGCTGAGTGGGTTTAGTTCACTCACCAGATATAACTAAACTCGAAAGCCTCCTGAAGCTTTGCAATAGAAAAGGCCTGAGTTTATTTTTCATTTAAAAGAATGATGACCGTACTGATATTTTTTTATATTAAAAAACATGGTTAACAAAACCAATTATGTTAACTAGAATCACTCCTGTGCAGAGAATGAGCACAAACAATCTAAACTAATTTTTCCCCGTGTGAAAGTCCTTACAGGAATGACAGAGCTTCAGTGCTACTGGGGCTATTGGAGTTTGAATGTTCTGGTGACAGGAATAAAAGGGACAAATACAAGGACCTTCTCCACTCGCAGCCGTACTTGTGGCTGGTACAGCTCATGGTTGTCCTGAGGGGCAGTGGGTGGTGCAGGACCAGTTGCTGCTGCTCTCATACACAGCAGTTACTAAAATAGCAGATGGGTCAACAGTTGCTGCTCCTGCAAAGTCATCCCAAAAATAAGAAGCCTCTCCAAAAGGGCTGTGGCTGATGTTATTTTCCTAGGGGGGGGGCTTAATGCCAAGAGGCAACATAAACAGGCAGAGACACAATTCCTGCCAGCTGAGGTGGCTCCCAGGTAGCTGCAGATCCCACTGGGGCCGTGTGTGACCTGACTGCTCTGAGCAGAGGAAGGCTCTGAGGGTGAAATGTCCCTGCGCCCCTCACCATCGGTGCACAGGTACGAGTGGAGGGGCAGGGACTGGCTGCTTTCAGAGAACCAAGTGCTGCAGGTGTCCAGTGGGTGACCGACATTGAGTGGCTGCTCCAAAGCAGCACCTGCTCCCCAGCACAGTTCTTGTTTTGCCATCAAGTCTGAAGGGGAAATGATCAGACTCCTCAGGGTGCTGTGCTGCAGTGTCTCACAGTCAAGTCTGTCCTCGTGCTGCTCCTTTGCTGGAGCTGCATCCTGGGAGCGTGTGCTGCGCTGGGGCGCTGTGGAGGTGGTGTCACAGAAGGAGTTTGGCACATTTTGAGCAGACATTGTGGTCTTAAACCTGTAGCTGGGGCACTGGGGCACTGCTCACAGGGTGGTGGTGTCCATTCCCAGGCCATTCACAGCTCCTGTGAGCTGTACCAGGGCCCGTGACCCTGAGAATTTCTTCTGAAGCTTCTCTGGACATCTGCAACTGCCTGTCTTCAGAGGATGGATGGATGGATGGATGGGATGGATGGGATGGATGGATGGATGGATGGATGGATGGATGGATGGATGTCTGCTCATTTATTTAAAGATCTTTGAATGAACACAGCTGAATGTTCCTGCTTTTGTAATGGCTCTGCAGCTCCGGCTTAATTAATGTCTGGAGTTCATGGAGGCGTTCCCAGGACTGTGAGAAATCATCTGGTCCTTGCCCACAGCCGCCGGCGGGTGGGACACTGGGGTACCCTGGGTGCACCATCAGCTCGATGGTCACTGTGCTGCTCTGCGGTGCCTTGGCCGTGAGCTGCAGGACGGCGCTGTCGATGGCGCTCCGGATGCTGCTGACAGACATGTTCCTGCCCATGGTGCTCAGGCCTATGTAAATGTCTGGCCACCTGCAGCCAGAGGAGGGAACACAGCTGTTAATGCTAGAGAGGTAGGTAGAGAATTGTGTTACATCCACTGGGTTAGGAATCAAAATATACCTAAAATTTAAGATAGAAAAACATTCCTCTTTTTTTAAACTTTTAACTATAAACAGAAGTAAAACCAGAACATTTCCTGATTGAAACCAGGATCCTATTTCAAGCAGCAGTTCTACAAGGACAGCAAGGCCCAGCACAGCCCCAGCACTGTGTGATGGCACATGGGGTGTTTGGCATCTGTGAGCTTACAGGTGTATTTTATTGTCCCAAAAGGGAAGAGCAGTGCTAAACTGAGAAATGCCACACTATAGAAATAACTTAAGCCTGAATAATAACCCCTCAGCTAAGTAGAAACTGAAATGACTGAAATAAAATGGCAACCACCCAGCTAAAGAAGCCTTCTGCCAGAATGTATCAAAAAGCCGTAATAAATGGACAAAATGTTACTCCTAGAGGATACCACCTACACCCTGTTTCTTCGCTTCACACAATTCTTTGTCTGGCTGCGAGAGTCAGTTCTAAGTGTGGCCTGAACGAGTCCAGGAGAGTTGAGCCACTGCATGTCAGGGCAGAATGAAAATGGTTTTGGAAGAAATCAAGGCTGGAGTCGTTACCTGAATGATCACAGAAGAGACCAGCTCAGCTCTTGTTGAGAAGGGAGAAAGGCCAGCCTGCTGCTGGTGTTCAGAACAACAGATTTTAAAAAAAAAAAAAAATCCAAGAAAATAATGTTTCCAGTGGACTGAGGACATAATGACATCTGCACCAAAGGACAGATGACTGCAGGGGTCTCTAGGGAAAGGCCTTTAACACACAAAACACTGTCTAAACTTTTAAGAGAAGGATTTTATTGGGGAAAGGGCTGAGCTTTCTGGGTTTGGCCCCTGAGATGCAGGGCTCAAAGCTGTAAGCAAAGGCTCTTTGCTTACAGCAGTGATCACCTGCTGTGGTACTGCCACCTCTCAGAGCTTGTTGCTTCCCCCTAACAAACACCTGCTTCTAATTAGTCTCTTTCCTGCTACTTAAAACCCTTTCTGTACTATGACAGGAAGATGAAAATTTAGTTCTTGAAAATTTTCCTTAGATAATACTTTTAAAATTCCAGCGTTGATGCAGCATTTCTCCTGACATTCCAACTGCCAGGCTGATGCAGCTTCACTAGAAAGGCTGAGAAGCATACCCTGAAAATAACATTCCTTTTCAAGTGGAAAGTGACTCATCTCTGTTCAAACAAAACTTTCTATGCCCTTGTGCCCCTGGCAGTTTTGTGCTCCTCCTGAAACTCTCTTTAAGTCCTAAGAGGAAAGAGAAAGGTGGTGTTCCAGTTTTGAAAGATACTATCAGGAACTGATAAAATCTTAATGTTTTACTACAAAAAAGGATGACTAATACCTGTCTTACCTTATTCCATGCTTTGTAAACACATCCACTGTGTTAAAAGAATCTTCCTCTACTCCCAGGTAGAAGTCCATCAGGGATGGTGGAATCCAGTCACAGTTATGAAGGCCTGGCTCTATTGGGACACGTGTGTACTTAATCCCATATTCCTCTAACACCTCTGCAAATATGTGCCTGACCTCTGTAAGCAAAACCAGAGTCTGCAGTCAGGAGTTGGATAATCAGCTTCTTGAGTCCCCTGCAAGCTGTTAGCACAGAGGCTTCTTTCCTTTCTATGAAAATAAAATTCCATTTGGTTTATCTTCTGCCGAAATCCATCTGTATGAGAGTCACCTGCTATACTGGAAACATTTCTCCCTGAACTTCTGCTGTAGGTGCCTTGTCTTCCTTTCAGCACTGAGCCTTTAGTCTAGCCCCCCTTCTAAGTGAGTGACTCTGGTCTTAGAGTGCACCAGAGGTCTGCACTGTCAGGAACAAATTCTTCATCAAGTCCTTGTACAGCCAGAGCAATGTTATCCAGAGGCAGTTAATACTGGAGTGGGAAAACCTGGATTCTTTTCTCACTCCATTTTCCATCTGTGTACCATAATGACTTTATTTGTAAAACAAGGACAAAAATCCTTGCTCATCTCTACAGCTTAGACCTGCAGGCAGGGACTGGTGTGGGAACACAACAGACAGGATGGAGTTCTTGTAGGATCTGAAAGAGCCACCAGCTACTGCAAGTTCCAGCACTCCAGTTTAAACTGGCCAGTCTGCTGCTGACTTTGGTCTGCCTCCTTCAGTGTGGGTGAGAACATGGAATTAAGATGCTGAGGAGAATTATTACCCCTTGGAGGAAGAGGTGTAACCTGGACTATTTGTGCCATTAATCCCTGGTGCTGCTATGGGAAGACCCAGGCCTCCAAGAAGAGTTTGGGTCTGCACAGGACTGTGGGGTCATGTGGGAACATTCAAACTGCAACTGCCAGCAGGTGTCTCATGGTGGGGTTATTGCCCATAAAGGGAGCTGTAGCACAGGGAGTCGACTCTCTCACCTGCTTGGTGCTGGGAAGATTTCCTTCTTACCTGGGAGAACATGGACATGCTGGTGCCCATCCATGTGAGGAGGTAGGTGACCTGTCAGCTCATGGAACAGCTCCACCTGGGCCTTTAGCTCCTGCTTCACCTGTGCAGCAGAAAAGGGTCAGAGCAAGACCTGGCAGAGGCTGAGAGCAGGGGAGTGATGGGGCTGCTGGGACTTCACTGGGCAGGAGCCAGGACCTGGCTCTGGGAAGCAGCAGGTGCTGTGGTTGTACAGGGATGTGCAGCACTGCTGGGCTGCCCAGAGCCTCCCCTGGGCATGGGGCTCTTTGTGGTACTGCTTATGGGGATGGTGCTGATGGGGACATTCTAAATACATATTTGAACGCCCATTTCTGTTTAAAATGGGTGCAGTTTTGATCATCTGAACACGTTCATCCTTGCTCATGGGGCAAAACCAAACATCTCCCTAGAGAACCAAAACCTCTCACAAGCTGATGGTGCTTACTTAGGATTTTTCTGTCATTTGCTCTTTACTGATCTCTAGGTTCTTTGAAAATACCTGTTCCAATGCCCCTTCTACCTCCTCAGATAAATATTTAACAGTATATACAGGCACTGAATCAGGAAGGAATGGGTTCTCAAAGGCTGCAGAACCTTTGGCAGAATGAGGCCCAGGACCTAAAAGCCAGCTCAAGCTACACAGGCAGGATTCATCTCTAAGCCTGCTCACAGCTGGGATCTGGGAAAGATCCTCAGCTGTTACATGCTGGGATAAATGCAGGCAGATTTGTATCAGGAAGGCAAGTTGTACAGCTGTATGTGGCTTTCTCCTACCTCTGACATATTCAGGAGACCTTTTGACAGAGCTGTTCTGAATCCCATTTTTCCATGGAAAAATCCATCTTGGTTGAGCAGAGAAGAGTTTGTCTTGAGCACCTCACATACAGGGGAGCCCTCGGAGAGGTTGGCATGCAGGCCTATTGGGATGTTGTATCTGGAAGAGAGTGAAATATCTGCTAAGTTTTGCACCTCCCTCACTGTGGTCAAAGAAGGGGAGATTTAAATATAAGAACCAGACTGATCTTAGAGGTGTTGAAGTACTCACTAGAGTACATCTTTGTATCTCTGCTCTGCCAGAAAGGATGGCAGAGTGACCCCAACCAGGTAACCCCCCTGGGCACTCTACCCAGGGCCAGCCTGTGAGTGCCCCCCAACCCTGGCTCACGAGGTATTTTGGGCTAAATGCTGTAACTGCGCTCCAGTAACTGCGGGCACTGGAAACCAGCTGAAAAATCCAGATCTTGCAGTTTTTCTAAAGCACCTCATTAGCCCTTGCTAGGTATCCCCTTGAGTTGTTCATCCTGTTAAAGATGGAACATTTATGAGACATTTGAGTTTTACTTGATGACTCCTAAAGCTGCGCTTAAGAAGAATCCAGTCACTTATATATAAACAGTGCCCAAGGAAGCTGTTATGGCAACAGCAGAGGATACAGGTGTAAATACAAGGGGCTGCAGCTAGAATTGCCTGCAGTGGCCAGGCTTCTGTCTACTGGAGCAATCACTCAGTGAGTGACAAAGCTGAGCTGTACAGAACAGCATCTCCCTGGCACAGCCAAAGAAGGATTAGTGCAAGGAGGCCTACAGGGAAGTGTAGAGCCTTGCTAAGGAGCATATGGATTACCCAGTTGCACTCTGTAGAATTCTTTAAAAAGAAGAAAAAAAACCAACAACAACAACCAAAACAAAAAACAAACTGTGGAGCTGGTGTAGCTGCAGAGCTCCCCTCAAGCATAGGGCTTAGCAGAGTGCTGGTGTTTCCCTCTTGGTCTGCTGTGGATTCCCCTACAATGAGAACAGGACTTGTGCGTGCTTGGACTTGTGCTGGGTCTCATTAATGTTTCTGGAAATCCTCAGAATCAGTAGCCAAAATGATGCTTTGAAACTTTTCCCAAGACAACCCGTGGCCTTTGGCTGACCCAGTGAGTGGATGACAGAACTGCAATGTTCTGTCTCTGCTGCCCAGTCTGAGTCATGGTGCAGAGTGAATTTCTAGACAACAAATCTGTGATGCTTTAAAACTTTCTTGGAACATCTGCATGGAACTGTTAAAAGTGGGTGTGGTCGGTCCCTGGTACAGCCCTTGTATGGCAAGGAGAAAACAAAAACAATCTCCATGTAGGCAAAGGGTGCTGTCTGACATCTGAGCTGACAGCTCACTGGAGACAGGACCGTGGATGGACTGGACCAAGTCAGTCATTTAGCTCATTCATGTCCTAAGGCTTTGGCCCTTGCAGGACTGAAAGTCTTTTTTTCCTGGCTCTTCCATGTCTTGTGAACCAGGTAGATGGTGCAATCAGTTGCTAGACACTACTTCTCAAAGACATATATGTTAGGAGTCAAGTTAAATGCACAGATCTGTGGAAAAAAATAAGTCCATTGCATGATTAAAGAGCTTGAATGTTAGTTTCATGGAGCAAAACAGCTTGTGGAGAAAAAGGTCCTCTCTGGCTTTTCTGATCTGGTGATTTCTGTGTAGCAGGGCCTGATTGTTTCACTGATGAAAAATGTTCATCATAGCAGAGGCCTGAACACATGTGTACACCAACTCCTGGCTCATACAAGAAGTGGAAGGTGTGTCACTGGGGGTGACAGGCTGCAGAGCAGCACAGGAGGCAGCTACAGTGCAAAAGGGGTGCTGTGGCAGGAGGGTTTCCCCTCCATCCTGTATCCTGCTGGGCACCCTGCATGAGCCCAAAGGCAGAGAGAAAGCCTGTGGTTTTGTTTTGGTTTTCTTTTAGAAGTCCACCCCAGATTCTTTATTGTGTCTCCAGGGAGCTCTTGACTGCATCAGCTGGAGTATTATTTGTAGCACAGCCGGTTTGCAAGAAAAAAAGGATTCCTGTGTTACCATGAATCAGCAGATGGACTTTTTCTGTTGAGTACTCTCTTTCTCATGTGTTGTGGGAGGGCAAGAAATGAACAGCTGAGCCTCTCAGTGCTGTCTCCCAGGAGCATCAAATGAACTGCCTGCAATTGTGCAATTCCTCAAATGCTGTGAGGGAGGCTATTTCCAGGAGAAGGCAAGTCCCTCTGACAGGTGTGGGACACCAAGGAGCCAAGGGCTGCGCTGGGGAACATGAGAGCAGCTCCTGGCCAGAGCCGAAGCCAGCCCCTGAGCTGGGGAATGTGCAGAATGTGGAAGTGCAGAGAGAGCTGGCCTTGTCCTTGGGTAAGAGGAGACCCTGACTGTAACATTAGAGCATGTTTCAGAGCTTTCCCTAACACCAGCTGGATATCTTAATAGTTTGCTCATGGAGTCAGTCTTGGTTTGACAGACTGCGCATGCTGAGGCGTCTGGAGAGGAATTGCTCGTGTTTAATGGCTCTGGGATACAGGCACTGAAAGCAAAACTCAAAATGCCATACATGAGAAACTTGTTCAGAAATACTCATCTGTGGGAGGTGCTCAGAAGAAGGCATCCTGAGAAGTTGTAAGGGTATGGGGAGGAGGACAGTTCAGTGGGTACAGCAGAGTTCTACTGCAACCTCAGAGGGAGAAAAGTCAAGGTGCAGGAATATCCTGAAAGGGCCCACTTTTCAGAGCACATATGATTATTTCTGCTACAGAAATATACTTTGTAGTTGCCCACATCTTTCAAAAGACTGTAAACTACCTGCTAACTTGTTGGCTGAAATACTGAAGCAGAGACCAGCAGCTCAAGCAGCTTACATGGCATGTGACGCTGCCCTGGGACCAGAGCTCAGCTGTTGTGGGTTTGGCCTCATACCCACTCCTCTGCCCAAGCCCTTTCCAGATGGGACAGGGTGAGCCCTGCTGGTCATTGCTGGTCATGAATTGCTAATTGCTCACACGAGATGCAAAATAAAAGGATTGGCATTGGGCTTCAGGCAACAGTTTAGTTTTTGCATACAGCCACCATTGCCAAAACAAAATTATGTGAAGAATCAACTTGGCGTCTCTAAATCCTTTTTGATTACTCTTTTAAGCCATAATGACCCTTTCAGTCAGGTGTGTGCTCCTGCAGCAGGATCAGCATTAGACTGATCTGCCTGGGCACTTGTGGTGAAGAGGTTCAGGCCACTCAGGTTAATGCGTTAGTGAGCTTTTTGCACTGAAAGTTGGCTGTTACATCTATGGCTCTCTTCTCAGCATTTCTGTAGAGGTGGGGGCAGAAAAGGAGAGGCTTGTGCAGGAGGAAATATCCTTACAGCAAGTGCTAGGAGGAGCAAGAAGGAATTCACCCTGGAAAGATTTGTGAGTCAGCAGGCCCAGTTCAGTTATCAAAGAGAGAGGAAATACAATCAGGTAAACTGCTTAAACTGCTTCCTTTTCAAGTAGTTGCTTGTTTTGCCACATGAGTGCTCTGAACAAATGTCTCTGCTGAGGCAATGTGCAGCTGCAATCCCTGTTCACTGACATCCTTGGCAGCAAAGGGACCCTGGAGATGGGTAGCTGCAGCAAGTCACTCTGAGGCTGGATGAGCAACAGTGTCCTGGGTTCTGCCTGCCCATGCCATGGGACTCTGTGTATTCCTGAGAGCACTTGCAATGGCTGTGGGAATTATGAGATTTGCCAAGCACTGTTCCAATTGGCTTGCTGAAGGCTGCATGCTCTGGCTTAAGCATAGCACCTTTCCCTTGATGGGTAAACAAATTCCACCTTCAACATCCTATTTGTATCATCCAGGAAATTGCTGATCATCAGGTTTCAGCCCAAGTGTGACCCAAGTCAGAGCCTCACATACGTATCTGTATCTAAACATCTCGCTTCAGTGAACACCCATGTGTCTGAAGCCAAACAAAGCAAGGATTTGAGCAAAAGCGTGCACTCCTTAGTTTCCTCATGTTGGCATTTGCATACCTCCTCACACACACTTTCACCATTCAGGAATATCTGTCTATCTTCAAATAGCATACTTTCTTGCTCTGTTACTGCTAAAAACCTATTTCTTCTGCCAGAAATGCTCTAAACCCTCTGCACTGTTAAGAGCTGGTTGCTGTAACTTAGCTTAGGGGCCCAGGTTTCTGTTGTAATTACATCTTTGTATCAAGTGCAGCTCCTGTGTCTGTAGCCTTATGTTAGTAAAATGGGCTGTTGCCAGTAAAGTCAATATGATCTGAGATTCTAGTGTAAAGCTTCAGATTGGGTCCCACCCCTATCCAAACAGTGCAGCACAGGAACTGTCTGCTGTGTGATTAACAGTCACATAAAAGGGTGACGAGAAAGCATAAGAGAATTCTAAATTAGTCAGATGTTGACTGTGAGGGTCAGAATTAAGTCACAATTTACACACATATTTTGCAATTAGTGTTGATGGGAAAGGAAGTGAAAATACGGAAAATTAAATGTGGCTGTGTTAGATTCTTCTGTTAAATGTACCCAGATGTTGTGGGGGCTTCAGCTGATATTCAGTATTTAAACCACAAAAGAATACCCAGGAAGGCTGAGGTTGTGTTCTAAAATATGTCACTCTTCATAAGCTATTTGGACACAATCAAATGGAAAAGGGTCCTAAGGCTCAGTGACACCTGAGCTGTTTGATGTAAAGGGGATATGGCAGCAAACTGTCTTAGGTGTCTCTATTTATATCTCAACTTTTCTAAGGAAAAATTAAGGCATCTCTTCAAGTTATGAAATAACCCTTCCAGTTTCTGAGAAAGACAGACTTCCTGGTGATTATTCCAGAGCCTGACTTCAAGGCAGGGCCTCTTAAGTAGAAAATTGTGATTATATTATATGAATAAGCAGGAAATCACAGTCAGTCAAGGCCCCATAAAGAGAAAAGCTTTGAGTTACTGAAAAAAATCTTCAACCTACAATGGCAGTCTGTTCTCCCACCTGCTGTTCTGGTTATGTTCTGCTCTGGCAGATGCTATCAATAGGTTTGTCATTTGGTGATGGATCAGGCCTCTGCTGAAACTTCTCTGCTGCCAGAAATGAGTGTGCCCCTTCTTTCAGCCCAGTTGTGACAGCAGATGAGGAAAGCCCAAGGTGCTGAGCCTGAATGTTAAGGAAGGTACATTTTTTACTGCTTGGTTCTGCTGCTCAGTTGGCTTGTGTTAGAGCTGATACAAAGATCTGCTGACTATCACGTCTGCCAAGGCTTTTAATCAAGACTCAGGGCAACAGATGGTATAACAAGAACTTACAGAATTATTGTGAAAATGAAAGGAATGAAGAAATTTCAGAAGACCTGTGTTCCTTTCTGAAAGATGCTGGGTCCTAACACTGCAGAGCAGCATGAGGTGCTTAGGAAGGAAAAGTTGCCTACTTATTAATTAGCTCTTCCTGTGTCCAATTATCTGAATACCAGATGAGGAGTGACAGCTTAAGACTTGCAGTGACAAGCAATCATGTCATAGACAGTTTATCAAGAAGCCATAAAAGCAGTCCATCACTCTGACAATCCTGGCACCATGTGTGTGAAAGACCAAATTCCACCGCACTGGAATGTGCCCCAGGAAAGGACAAGCTATTTGCTTCAAGCCTCTTCTCTCAGCTGGGGATAGATCCACTCTTCCTGCTTACACCACTGGTCAAGGCTGAACAGGGGAAGACAAACATGGGGAGAAAAAAAACAGGCAGAATTTAATCCTATAAAATGAAAAGCCTCAGTATTTACAGTGGGATGGGAGATGACCAAGCAGGGGAAAGAAGGAATAATATTGGCAAGGCAGACAAGCAAATGATACTTTCCAATTTCTGCACCACAAGATGAGAAGGACTCAATGACATTTCTAGCAAATCTGACCTATTTGTCATCTGTGTAGAAAGAGTTTGCATCAGCCTTTGTAACATGAACAAATATCTCAGGGGTGACACAGGGGTTTGTTTACACACACAGGTGCCAATTAACAGCAGCTGAGGCTGGGCTTGCATTTCAACATGAGGAAATCACTTCTCCACACCTGCTAATACTCCCCCCATGCCTGGGTATGGCTGAATTCACCTGCAGATAGTTACACAGATGAGGAACTGTAGAATCTGGGTTGTTGATCTTCAGAGCTGGCAGATGTTCCCAAAGTGACCCTGCTTATATGCTCAGAAATAGATTTAAATCCATTTCATTCACACTGATAATTCAAAATTACATCCCCTCACAGGCCCATCTCCCAGAAAAAATCAAATTGGAGCAGCAGGCTGCAGCCTCTGCTGTCCCCTGCTCTCCCAAATGGCTTTTCACACCCATATCAGCTGCCAGCACAAGTGTCATGACCTGGATTCAAAGATGCTTTCTAAACCCCTGATTCCATGGCCTACTTCCTGGCTATGGAAATGAGGCCAGGTGGATTCTATTTTAAAAGCCTGCTAAAGACCATGGCTAAAATAGCTGACAACATTACCAGACCACTGGGGCTTAAAGGGTTTCACGGTGCCTCTGTGTCTGAGAGATGTGCTGGCTTTATCTCTGTGTTTTGTTTCATTTACTAATAGGATTTTAAGAATCTTACTGGTGTTGTGCCTCTCCCCTTCTCATTCCCAGGCAATTCTTCCCTTGATGTTTGTGAGGAATCTCTAGCCTTATTACAGACCAGTTTGCCACTAACACTGCACCTTGGCTTTCTTCCACTGCTCTACAGCAAAGAAGCTACAAGCAATTTCCAAATACCTCTAAAACCACAGCAAATTGAGGAGAGGTGCTCAATGAGAACAAGAACAGCAGGACTCTCATGAAACTCTCCCCCACAGCAGCTACATTTAAAGCATAAGGTCTCTGTTTATTTAGCAGCAGTACAGCTCCTTTCCTTTTCTGCTTTCCTAAATTGTTTCTCAACCTTAATGTTCTCTCTTTCAGGATATACTCCTGCTTCCAGGTGCCTGGCCACACCAGAGATAAAGCATAAACTGGGTTTTACCTCCTAAATACAAATAATGCTTCCTATTAAAGGATTTGCTAGACTAGACCATGAGACTGCCACGGAGCACTTGATCTGCTGCAGAGCTAACTGTGCCAGCAGCCTCTGAAGTTGGTGAAGTAAAGGTGGTACAAGGTATTGTTCCTTTCTTTATGTATGCATTTTTTACAGATACGTTTATCAAGCCTAGAATTAATATAAATATTGATGTGCTTTTTTTAAAAAGGTTTATGGTGTGGGGAAAAAGTCAAGTTTTCCACTGTCCAGATTTATAAATCAGCCTTTGCAGGATCACACCTTCCCCTGATTCTGCAATGAGCCTGTCTGACCTTGTATTTGGCCTGGGTGAAATGGATCAATTATAGTAGATTTAAAGACTTGTGCTTTTATGCTCTTATAGTTTTAGGGGTAGTAAGATTGGTCTAACTATATAATGTGCACTTTCCTTCTGATGATGCATCTCTTAGAAGTGTGGAAGGAGAAAGTCTGACAAACCCAGTTTCTACTAGGCAAATAGTGGAAATGACTTCCTATCCTGGGGTGGGGGGGAAAGGTGCAGTGGCTAATACTAGAGAAAGACCACTACTAATATTAGAAGATCACTGCTTTTACTATAAAGAGTCTTAGTAAATGTATCTGAATACAGTTTTGTTATACCAGCCTGAGCTATGATACAGTGTTTATTCTGGGGCTACAAAATACGACATTTTCCAGGCTTGGTTTTTCGTGGAGGCTATCCACAAAGGAGCTAAAGAAAGTAGCTTACCTCCTTGCCAGCTTGGCTGCATCTGCTGCAGCACTTCCGTTGACTAGAAGGGACACGTTAGATATCGCACCAGCCAGGAAACAGTCCACAATGCCTTGGTTTCTCCGAGGACAATAGCCGAAGTCATCTCCAGTTATTATTAGCTTCACCTGAAGCATCCTTAGATGTCATCCCTGGCAAAAAAAGTAAAAGGAGGTTTAATGGTAGACTCGGCAGTCTGCAGATCACAGGCAAACAGGAAAAGACAGGCTTACCGGGGGCGAACCCAATCGTGACTCAGCCCCTGACTAACTCCTCCTGCTCCACCTCAGCCCGCCGCTGTCTCGCAGCTCGCACAGTGGTTGAATTTGCGTGTGGCCGCCGGGCTCACACCATCCCTGCCTGCTCCTGCCTAAGAGCACCCGCCGTGCCCTCCCCTGCGGGGGCAAACCCTTGCGTATACTTTGTACCTCGGGCGATGAGGAGCGTGCGAAAGCTCGGGGACTTGGTGGGATGATTTAATCGATCGAGGGTACGAGAGAGGGTCAAATTCCATTCCCGAGCACACCCTCGCCCGCGGTGCCCAGCGAAATGGCACGGGTGCGGATCACCTGAGGCAAGCCCGCAGCCGTGACGTCTTCGCGGCCACCGATCCCCGGCTCCAT